CGCTAGTAGTAACAGGTGCCTTACTAGTAGTAACAAGAAGCTAGTAGCAGCCAGGATGCACTCTATGATGCCTTGCCTTGCCTGTCTGACAGGCCGATTGACACATGCCAACGACAAGAAGCAAAGGCGAAAGTTCATCCCCAACAGAACCGCCTTTGACCCACCGCTCTCCCTCTTCCAGTGCCAGTCTCAGTACACTATGCCTAAATCCATCCCCGCGTGATCCCGCGTGCCAAAATGTCCAAACTTGTCCAAATGACCTGCGCTTTGGTTGACCATATCATTCCCATCCAAGTTACCTCTAAAAGACGCACAAGGAGTGCCGCCCCTCACTCATCAAAAAGCCCGCGTCGGGCACATCTCGCAACCTTTTGCATGTAAAAAAGCATGCCCCTCCTCGGAAACTTGGAAGACCAGCCCACTCGAAAACCCACCCGGATGGTTTTCTCTTTTCTCAGGTGATTTATCTGAGTGCGCGGTCGCAGACGGAACACCTTCGCGAGCTGATTCCACATGTCTTTTTGGCTTTCGAGGCGGGCTTCCCGGTTCGTCTCGAGAGCCAAACAAGACGTGTTTCGTTTGGGTGGATGGTGTAGATCTGGGTTGGACGTTCGGTTATGCCGATGCGGGAGCTTGGTATCCAAATCCAGCTACCCCATGGGAAGGTAGCTGAATCGCAATGAATGGTGCCAGGTGAATTAGAACATAAATTCTTGTTCGACTATCCCCAAAAGATCCCAAAAGTCTGTGGGTATCTCCAACAATTGTAGATTAACTCAACCCATGAGAGTAAGCAAATTAGGCTTCGGAGCTCATTTCTATATTAAAACCTGCAGCAATTTAACACCCGAGAACTTGAGACTCCAGCTCACGATGAGGGTTGTGGTTGAAACGGTGGCAAACGAACGGGTTGGAATCGCAGCGTCCACGACCGTTGCGGTGACATGCGGTGACGACCAGGCAGGATTTCTCATTGGAGCCAACGGGAATTTGTCTTACATAGATACAACCGTCCTCAAGTAGATAGAATATGAACCAATGTGAACCAATCTTCAAAACATGAACAGGTTCCTGGATCGGTTTAAGAGATTGTGATTTTTGTTTCAGAATCCAACGTCCGTCGATTGATATTGATGGGCATAAGGTTGCAGCATTCAAAAACAAACACCTGAAGGTTTTGCACTTGAAAAAGTCGATGTTTGTTTGATTTGGAATTTGTGATTCCTATGTTCCGAGTAGTCAAAACTGTCAGTTTCAAGTCTTTACAGCCCTGCCTTTGGGGATACTGAAGATCGCCCGTAAAAGTAGTTGACATGCTGGGAGTCAAAGTATTCTCTGCCTGTTGCTACTGCTAAGCGCATGCACCTTGTTCAGTGCGGGTACCGGGATCCGGGATGTGTTTGACGTCGAGAAGCCGCTGAAGATCTTAGCGGGAGGTTTGGTCATGTCAGGTCCATTGGTCGCCTAAGAATAAGTAATATTCAATTGATTTCAATTGTGTCAAACTCTCTGTCCCCATGTACAAGATCCATGTATATAAGATCATTCAAAGCCACCACCATGGGGGTCAGCTTAGCTCACCTTATCAATCTTTGTTCATGTTTCCTTGTTGACCAATCGAGCTTGTGCCCTTCTTGGAATCAACACGAAAGCCGATTCGCCGTTCGCCACCAAAACCACCAACACGAGGCAGCTTCACGGCTGGCTCAAGAAGATGGTCAAGCAATCCTGGTGGCTGACATGATTCAGTGCCCCGATCAAAAACCCTCCCACCCTTTGCGCTGGAAAAAACAGCGGCGGAATGAGGTCGGAGGTGGCCAGACGTCGGAGGTTTGGCATTTCGAAGAGGTCCAAACAACCTCCAAAAGGTGTTGTTTTGGAAAGACAGCCGTTCAGTTCATACCGTTCATACCCCCCAGGTTTTAAGAAGACCCTCCTAAATGATTAAGGTTTGTTGAGATGTGTGTATATATATAGTTAATTATAGTTATATACATAATTTAATAATGGGTTATGTTTGCTTAGCATACAAATGTGAACAGGATAAGCGGGTAAACAAAATGACGGATGACTGGGAAACGCTAGTAGGCCCTGCTCAGAATCCGCTGAGTAGAAACAACCCATGCATGACCTAGTTGATCGGTTTTCAACAAACACTGACGATGTATAGAAGGGAGGGATACCTAAGGACGCTATTGGGTGGAGGCCATCACAAATAGGTTGGAGGCAATCGCTACTAGTAACAAGAAGCTACTAGGAACAAAGGGATACCTGAGAGGATACGAATCCGAGGAGCATCAAGGGCATAACTGGATGAGGCCAAATCACGAGTGCTGCGTGATAGCGAACCACGCAACCTGCACGCGATGTTACATGCCGTGCCAGACCGCTTAGCTCACAGTGAACCCTAAAAAAGATCCGCCAATAGCCAGCACCACCTGAACATCGGGTGGTGTCTTAGACGCTGAACGCATCCAATGACCACACCCGAACAGGCCTTTGGGTGGTGCTGGTGATTGACCTTGTTGGTACAGGATCTCTCACTCTGACAGTCCAACAACACACCGTTCAATGATGGAACCAAACCCAGTGTATGCATGACATGTTTATACAAGTGTATGCAGGGCCCCGTTCGTGCTGCGGAACCGCATGCAATCGCATGGTTTGGTGGTCGAACCGTTGGAACTCCATTATCAATTTCGGCTACATGTCGGCTATGCAAGTCTTTGCAATTGCTGACAGGAATGAATCATAATGAAACTGTGAGGTGCTTGTCAAGCCACTAGTCACTAGATTGACCAAAAAAACATCGTGGAATGCTTCTAAATCGTCCCGGTGCCCTCCGCGCCACCGCCGCCCTCAGGATGCAGCCATCGCTCAACATGGACCCCTTCGCCTTTAAAGATCTCGCGAACAACTTCGGTGTGGCACCTCGACGTGGTTTCGCCCAGTCACCCAGTCCCAAGATCCAATCCATGTGAAGGTCTTTCGTTTGGACGATTCCCAAGAGGTCAACGGTCAACCCAACCGGTCTAGGGACCCCTCGACCGGACGACTGCGACATGTGACGAGACCGGTGGTTAGTGGTGAAGGTTCTTCAGAATGCCTCACTCCTTCACAAAATGAACTGATACAAAAAGGGTCTCCTCCCAGGCTTCTGGATCTATAATGCTGTTGTTGTTGTTGTTGTTGCAAAAGCGGGATTCTGGATTATATAGCTAGCGCTATAGTTCTATCCCTAGGGATCCAAGTACCTTCTCAGAAGGTGACGGGAGGCACTGTTATGTAGGTTTGGAGGGTCAGAGTACCTTCTGAGAAGGTACTTGGATCTCTAGGGTATATATATATATCCCCTAAGTACTAATTATATACTATATAATACTTGAAACAAAATGGGTAGCCCGTCCACAATTGCCTCAGACCGATACCTCATGCCATGCAGAACTGGACAAGCGCCTCCAGGTCGGATGAAGCATGTGAAGAAGCAATTCTTGTTCACTTGAGAGCTCTTCCTCCAACAGTTGGGTTGACTTTTGGATGTAGGGGTACAACCCCACAACTCTGCTGACAGCTGGGGCGGAAAAGTTGGTATCGCCCCCCCCCCGCCCAGAAAAGACTGGTTCCGATTCTTTTGAGGGATTAGTTTTGGAAAAGTGCATCCAGAGGTAGCGATGCCCTTGTTACTAGTAGCTTCTTGCTAATAGTAGTAATGCCCTTGTTACTAGTAGCGATGCCCTATTGTTACTAGTGGAGTATAGATAGAAGAACACAAAAAAAACACTAGGAAACTGGACATATGTTCGGCTTGGTAATCACATATTCAATCTACTGCAGGATTCAATCTACTCTAGGATATTCAGTTGACAACCCAAAAAAGATCTTTCAATCTAAAGGATTTCAGCCAATATGTGTTAAAAGATTTCAGTAGCCAATATCTATTGATATCTATTGATATTCAGTTAAAAGAGTTCACCAGTGTCGTTCATCACCCAATCTCAACCGGCGGCCGACCGGATTCGTCCACACTTGTCCACGTTGGTTTCCATCGACCCACTCCGCCTATTCAGGGACGAGGGATGGGGTACCTGAGGATGGTGAGTGAGAAGGATGCCCTGAACTAAATGCGCAAAAGGTTGGTCCAAAAGGTTGGCCCTGAAGAATCTTCACGAAATGAAACAGCGCATGTGCGGAAGACCCAGCGCCTTTCTTTCGGTGCCAAGGGAAGTGGCTTCTCTGGACCCGGCGCGAGGAGTTAGCACTTTGATTCATGAACCCGAGTCTGGACCAACTCATCTTCTGTTTCAAGGTGAAACCATTCCAGTCCTGCAATGCCTGTCATGCATGCGTGTGAGATCATAAGTGATTCATTTCTCGATGCCATGAACGCAGAACAGTTCACTCAGGTCTGCGAGAACCTCCAGAACGCTCCAGATCCTTCCCCAACCGGTTCTTTCTTCCCTTTTTTTTTGTCCAAGGCCGTCGACGCAGACCATGTGAGCTCGACAGTCGATGTTTTCGCTCAGGTCTTTGCAGACCGGTTGAAGTGCATTCTCATCGTTGACTTTTCCTTCATCGCACAGGACTGGGAAAACCGTGGGCTTCGCTTCGCCCTCGCTTCACGCATTGGCGTGAAGAAACTCCGTCGGACAGTTGCACCAGGTTGCCATCAGGTGGCCAGAATTGCAGCCAGTCGATGCACCATGCCAGTCGAGCAACCCTGTGGATGGCTGGTCTTCGGGTTCATGGAAGTCCATCTTGTCGGGCGATTGGACGAAAGTGCAAAGACAACGCGTTTTCGGTCAGTATGTCGATCAAGATCTGTGCAGTAGTGCACGGATGATGATGATGATGATGATGATGACGACGAACATGATGACGACGATTATCATTATTATTAGTGTTATTCGTTGTTGATGATGGTGATGGTGATCGGTCACCATTCCCAAGAGCAGTTGCCAGGTTTGCGCCAATTCTGATTCCCTGCGCTTTCCCACGAGTCGTCCCGTGCCATGGGTGGAAATCCTTCGCCTGGCCGTGAGACCTCAGGCGGTTTGGTCAACCTTGAGACCCTTCCTGAGCGAGCCTCCTGGCAAAGTGTAACCAGGGCGACCTGTCATGTCGGACATGTTTTTTCATTTAAAGGACTTGTTTGATGAACAAGAGTCCCTAAGCTTGGGATGTTGTGCTATGCTTTATTTGCATTTATTGTAGTTGCTATGTGTCATTGGATTCATGATTCATTGTGGACTAAGGACCTAATGGCCAAGCCGGCACCAAAGGTAAAATCGTAGAACATCATGTGTGGCAGTTCATGGTAGTTATATGTTGCCTTTCACATTGTTGGATATCATCATGTTGCAGACCCATGACATTTCATGACAACATAGCTCTGGCATGCTTTGGCTCAACAAAACAACACACTCTTAAAGGATCCAGGGTCAACAAAGGGGCCAAAATTGTATTCTTGCAACGAACCCCCTTGTCGAGCATGGTCGTTGCCATCCCTCTCTTTAAAGACTGTTGACTGTTAGATGGGCTCCGCGGCTCCTTAGAACCATCCTGGCGAGAGGGCATTCTTCAACAGATCCCCTTTAGTTTGTGTGTTTTTCCCTCTTAGGGGTTGAGACCCCAGGATCCCCCGCGTGTCATCACCAGCTTCCAGGGCGTCGTTGGTCCCCCCAGGCGGACGCAGAAGAAGATTAACTTTGTCAACGAGGTGGATACATGTGGTGGAACTGGGCCCAGTAGGCCCACCTTGAGCCGCCAAGGTTGTCCAATATGATATATATATATACCTACTGAGTCTGTCGTCAACTTTTTTTTGGGTGGAAATCGCAATACCTGGTTTTATGTATAATCAATGAAAAAACCAGGTTTTTGGTTTCCGTCAGGTTTTTCATGAACATTGAGTCCTTGGCTGAGATATGTGTTGTTGCTCGAGGGTTCCATGCAGGACGGAATGACATCGTGTAAACATGTTTTAGATCGAGAAGAACCAACATGACAACAAATATGGAACAGGTGGCACTTGACCATGATCGATGTAGAACCATGGGTTCATTCTTGGTGTGGTTGTTCCACCAAACCTTCCGTACGCGTCATGTCATCGATGTGTCACCGATCGCGACCGCATGTCTATGTCGTGGACGAGTTCGTCACCTTTGGAACCACTGCCAGGGCCCAAGGTCCGTTTTTCTTTTTCTCTCCAGCGGTCGGAGTTGGGTGCAGCTGTGGAGAGTTCCTTGGGTGGACGGGCATGCCCTGAAACCCTGGTTGGAATTTAGAATTGTTTGGATTGCTGCAGCCTGTTTCTGGATCAATAAGTTGTTGTATTGCACACTCACCCTTTGTGGTTTGCCCATGGACTGTAGAGGGCTAGCGGTGGCCTGGGAAGGGCTACTTCCCCTGAGGGAGAAGGTCAGGGGCTGTGGCAAGCTGATCACCCACCCATCTACACAGAAGTTCTGCGTTGCGAACAGGGCAAACTGCAAAGAAAACGCAGAGATCTTGAAGCCGATCTTGGGAAGAATGGCCGAACACCCGAAGAATGCTTTGCCCCACTTGGAACCTTTGCAGGCTGAGCTGCTTGCATTGGCCAACAAGTTGGGCCTCCCTGTGTCGGAAAAGGGGGTCTACCAACCGGCTGTGGAAATCAAACGGCTTGCTGGCTTTGTCAAGAGGCGAGTCAATCGGGGAGAGTGCACGAAGGAGCCGAGAGGTTCAATCTGTGCTTTTTGGGTGCTATGTGGTTTTGAGTTGGATTGGATCCAATTGTACTAATCCTTTAGCTGATGAGGCAACAAGTGAATATGTTTTCAATTGTTGGCCATCTTTGGTCACGATCACCTCGTTTGTAGTCCCAATTGTGTTCAATTATCTCTTTGATTATCTGCTTCACCCTGCTAGGATGTTGCATTCCACGAGCTCTACCTCACTTTGGACCCAAATCAGGAGGACAAAGAGTTGTCTCATGCCTGTTCCCTTTCGCTCACTGGCTTCCAAATCCATCTTAAACACAACAGTAGAATTTGCAGTAGAATAAGCTATGTCCGACCCATGAATTTGTTGTGACTTTCTGGTACTGTCAAAGGATCACATCGAAGCCTATATGGCAACTCGTCGGGGTCAAGACTCTACTGCAGACCCTGATGATGCGGTGGAGGATCCGGAAGAGGATCCGGATGACCCAGTGGACATGGTTGCGTTCAACGCATGGTTGGACTCCAGAACGGCGGAGGTGAGCCCCAAGAGTTCTGAGGTGGACCCCTTGAGATCTAGTGAGCCCAAATCCTTGTCAGAAAGTATGTCCCCTCCATCTATTGTTCCGAAGCCTTCTGGTGATTCGACATCGCAAACCCAGAGCATCTCGAACCATCAGAATATGAACTTTGTAAGTTTTTGTTTTGATCCCATGAATCCATGGTTTCATGTTGACAGGTGTTTACCCTTCACTGCTCAGGCGAGCGGCTTGCACAAATCCGCGCTCTGATTGCTGAGAAGAAGCAGCAGCTTCAGCAGAAGGGAGAGCTTGAGAAGTCACGTCCTGAGGCCGTTTTTATAAGACTGCGTGCAAACTAACAATTATTGTAAGGGTAGATGGCAGCAACAAAACTAGACTCAGTCACCCCTCTAGGCTTTGAACCTATAAAGCCTCCACGTCACACCTACTGACCAAGGTCAGGGGGAACAACAGTTCCAGTGGATTCTTCGGGAGCAAAAGGCCCGGCCAGGCTTACAGGTGCAGGTATGTTTTGACCACATAGATTGATCCTGCAATATGATTTTCAAATTCGTGGATACTGAACACACACATATCCGAGAACTGATATTACCCTGTTGAAGCATACACCATGGCCCTTTGTGATGATTGTAGTGAAGTAACAAAGGATGACAGTAACCGCAACCTTCAAAAACTAACCATTAGTGCAAACCCGTCATGCACAGGAAGCACCGCTCTGCCAGCTCCTACATATACAGCTGCTTCCGATTGGGATGAGACCCAACCTATGTTCAAGGCGGATGGCATTGACAGCAGCCAGCCGGTTGGTGAGGAGAAGGAACCCACTGCCCCAATCGAACCACCTGCCCCAATTGAGGAGGCGTGTGGTTTCAAATTATTTGGAAAGGTGGTTTATCCTAACTTCATGTTCAATGGACGTTTGGTGTCCAAGAAGATTGAGGTTTAAAGATCGAAATTATATAGATATCTCAACGCAAGTTAAAACCAAAATTGGATGGTTGACCCTTTGTCCACCTGTTCCCTGGCCAGGTTCTCACTCGGCGGGATCAGCTGAGAATGAAAGAGAAGCTGGCAGATGAAAAGAAAATCAAAGCTGTGGAGAAGAAGCTCGATGGTGCGACTGAACATGATGATGATGAAGAAAAGGGGGGTGACGTTGCTGCCCCCAAAGCCAAGGCAAAAGGGAAGGCCAAGGCCAAAGTGGAAAAGAATGCTCAGGGGTCAAAGAAGCGTGCAAAGAATGATGATGATGAGGCACCTAGCACCCCGAAGAAGAAGCTCTTCCAGTCTGACGACGAGGATGGAAATCAGGACCTCAAAAGTGAGAGTCCGACTCTCTACCTCGACCCCATGACTGGAGAGGCAAAAACCTTGGACCAGATCTTGGAGGGCTATGTTCCCAAAAAGCATGAAAAGTCCAAGCCCCAACCTTCAAGGAAGAAGAATGCTCAAATTGAGGAAGAGATGGCAAAGGCCTCAAAGGAGGTCAAGGCCATGAAGCCGGATGCGAAAGTGATGCCAGAACAGGCCATGAAGTCCAGGTCCAAATTGAATGCGGCGCAGAAGCCCAAGGCCAAGGCAAAGGCAAAGGGAACAAACAAAAGAAAGGCGGCTAAGGAAGATGAGCCTGAAGCTATGGAGGTGGAAGTGGAAGACTCAGATGATGAACATCCGCTTGAGGATGAGGAATTGTGTGAAAGTGAGAAGGTTGATGATGAAGAGTTGGAGGGTGGAAGGACCGCAAAGCCGAAGGCCCGGGCCAAGGCAAAGGCAAAAGCCCGGGCCAAGGCAAAGGCGAAGGCTAAGGCAAAGGCCCGGGGCAAAGCCAAGGCCAAGCCAGCCAACAAGCGTATCCAGGAATCGCCTTCTGTCAAGAAGGAAAAGAAAAGGAGAAAGGAAAAGAATGATGCTATGATGGAATTGCAGCCGGCTGACATGGAGGACACTATGATGCAAGCCATCTTCATGACCCACCTCAAGAGGACCGAGAACCTTCATGAGGAAGAGACTAAGGACTACCTCAAATGCAAGGTCGGGGACAACTTTGACATGGTGGCCTTTTCCAACTACTGGAAGGACAAGGCAGTGGGAGTGGTTAAAAAGGCAGACAGGTCTCACCTCACATACTTTGGGTTTGGTAAGAGTTTGACATGGACCAATGGCATCACGCTGGCCTTTGTGAGCGCAAACCTTTTTGTGGCTGGCCTGTCTGGTTGGACACTTTTTGCTTTGGTTATGGTTATATTTCATTTGTTTGAACTCCACAACTTCTACTAGTCGAATGGTATGGATACACTGGACTGGATGAAGCCTTATGATTATCACGCACCATGCATCCTATGAACCTGTGTTTGAGTCAGTTTCATTTGAGGCATCCTATCTGGAAAAAGAACACGGCAACATTCCGGCTGACTTCAAGGATCCTACTTCAAATGTCCAACGGCAGGTTGCTATCATCAAGTACAACGCCGGTCAAGCGATGAGAAAAACACAAATGTGATAGTAGGCACTGACTCATGGTGTGTGCAAAGGATATGGTCTGATGTTGGAAGGCAATAAACATATTAATGAAACACAATGACTGTTTTATAACTTGAATGTAGTTATTGTTCCATCCTTCCACGACGGCCATGTTTTGATTTTGGAAGTCACTGACCTGTGACATATGTGCTTTTGTGCGGCCAAGTGGCCAATGAGATCGCAGCCCTGAAGATGCCTCCTTAGGCATTGGGGTCACTGGGTGTATATGCAGGCAGGCGCCAGGGGCTGTTACACATGGACCTTGAACATTCCAGGCCTTGAGGTAACCCTTCAATGTCCATCGACCTTGCAAACCAATGTCCTAGAATCATGTGTAAGTTGATTTGTTAGATCACTTCATTAATGTGTTTGCCTGCATATGGGGCCGACCATTGCCCAAAGAGTGGTCACTGATCCCAACTGACTGGCGGCTTGGAAGGGTGCGTGGGGAGGACCTCACGTGAGCGGTGGTGATTCGCAAGCTCAAGTCAATGAAAACGTGCTGTCTAGGTGACTGGTGGGTGGACTGTTCTCTAGTGCTGTTGATTTCGGTAGGGTGATTCGGGTGGAAATCAAAAAACTTTCATGTTGAGTGTTTAGTCAACTGTGCAGACCCTCTGCGTATGATCGAATTTTGGCCATACCCTGCCCCTTCCCCGTCAAGCTCCTTGCTCTGGCATCGGCGATCCGAGGCCAAATGCCACCTCCTGGGCTTCGAGGCAACAAATGGGCTTTGAAGCGGGGTCTTCTTGCTGATGAAGTGAGTACCCCTTACATGATTGAACTCTTACTGGATCAATACTATTTTACTTGATGGTTTGGAACAAACTTCAATTTGTGCACCTTTGTGGGTGCCACATGGAGCTCTTAGATCGATGTTTTTTCATGTTTATGGACGAATTACTGTGTCTGCATTTGTTTGATGCGCAGTCTGGATGAGTTGATTGATTTTATGT